GTGTGTGTGTGTGTGTGTGTGTGTGTGTGTGTGTGTGTGTGTGTGTGTGTGTGTGTCCATGGGCATGTGGGGCCCACAGCTGTTCATGGTGGTCAAGTGTTCTCCTGTTTCTGCTTCCTTGGAGCTGACACTGGTGTGAATATCAAGGCGATGATGTCACAACGTCAGCGCCGGGGCAGACGGCCGTACAAAGACAAGCTCGGTTTCCACAGAGATCTGTCAAACATCAAAACAACCTGCCGTTGGACCACGCATGCACGCAGGAGCATGTGTGTGTATCTGCCTTAGGGTCACTTGGCCAATAAACCAAAACAGCTGAGCTCAACAGGTTGAACTTTAGGTCATTTATTTTTAATATTTGCACATATTTATTGCCAGGCCAAGCACAGAACTTCACGGTTCACGACCCTGTAAATGTGTCCAAATGGACCCAGACTCAGACAGATTCTTTAGTCTATGATCAAAATCCGTCCCCGTTTGTCCACTGCTGTGGCCCTTTTCCTGTGAGCCTGTGTCATCACCCCACAACTCAAACCATCTTGGATCTTGGAACTGTAAGATCCCAGCCGAATTAGGACGGTGTGTTCCCATGCAGCGGGGGTTTCATGTAGCTTTGATGGTCTAGATTTATCTGTGGTGTTTTTACTGCAAGATTCAATGTCAAACATTAATATTTCTGGCTAACCTCCATCCCGCTATGTAAAAACTTTGCTTTGCAAATGTGGAAGCTAATGCTAACTGATAACCGGCCAACCCATGGTCTGTCATTTAAACAGATGTGTGGTATTCACGGAATTGTCAGAAATGGGTTTTTCTTTAATAAAAAATCAAATTTAACAATTTATTTCAATTTTTTAGGACCGCCAAGACATGGCTCGCGGACCCCTGGGGGTCCTGGGTCCCCAGTTTGAGAACCTCTGCACTAAGACATGAGTTCATTTGTTTACCACTCAGGTGTCCTCTAGAATTTAATTTGGGGATTTCCTGTTCAACAAACCTTCCATTTAATAAACATTACAACATTTTTGAAATGCAGAAAAAAATTATTACAACAATATTTGGTTTAGTTGCAATTATACATATCGTCTGCACCAATGAGGGCTTAATGGTTTTCCCACTATCAAAAATAAGAAAGGTGTAGAAGCAGTACTTTTTTATTTGTTTGCTATTTTAAGGAGAAAAACATATATATTTTTTTCAACTTTACAAATGACATCTTTCAGGAGACAAACTGAAACAAGTGGAAGTTGAGAGTAAAAGTTTTACAGCCTGAAAGATCAACATTTATTGGACCTTCAGGTGCCTGATTGCACTAAAACCTATGAGAACACCCAGCTAACTAAATATGGTACAGTTAGTTTGTCTTGAGCTTTACTGGACACACACACACACACACACACACACACACACACACACAC